CAGTCAGGCTTCTTTTAAAGATGTTTGAAAGTTAACATATAATCAAGTCATCCTGGACAGTCCACTGTTGGACTGACCTGCTGACTCTAAGAGTAGCTGGTAAATTAAATGGACGGGGCCATAAATGTACCAATTTCCTTTCTATGAGCACAGAGGGACTGTCCTAAACCATGGAGATAACTGTACCTGTTGTGTATTTCCCAGGGTGTCAAGGCTGTGCTTGCTGAAAGCTATGAGAGAATCCATCGAAGCAACTTAGTAGGGATGGGAGTGATTCCTCTGCAATATTTGCCTGGAGAGGATGCAAGGTCTTTAGGACTCACTGGACGGGAGCGTTACACGATTATCATTCCTGAAAAACTAAAACCACAGATGAACATCCAGATTAAGGTATGAGACAGCTAAGGGCTGAATTTTCTGAATCACTGTAATTTCACTCAATATTAACTGTCTCTTCAAACAATGTGCTTTCATAATGGCAGTAAGCTTCCCTCACTTGAGGAAGGGAGAAGAATTGAGATGGTGAAGGGGATGGAAACAGTCGTTCTAACAGGGATTCACATGATGGGATATAAAAGCAGCATTTTTTATTTAAAAAAACAGCCCAGACTGTTTTATTTAGCACAAAGCAGTCTTGTATTTTGGACCAGTCTTTCAAAGTCCACTATAATTTTTCGTCTCAGTTAAACATTTGAAGCACAACAGAAAGTGAACAGTAAGTATTAAATAAATTAAACTAATGTATTTAAACCAGTTTAAAATAATTCATTGACAATTTAACTGACAGAATATTGTACACTGCAACATTCAGTATGAAGTCTAAGCATGCCCGGCATAAAATCTAGTTAAACTTCAACCCCTGTATTTGAAAGACCGCTTTTTGTCTAGCTTTGCCTCCAAACCTATGCCCCTTTTTGAAAAATATAATCTACAATAAAAATTTGGTTTATTCTTCATTGGAGTATCTGTAAAACTGACTTAACCTAATAGCATCAAACTCTGCTTTTTTACTGTGTTTAGCAAAACAATCTACTTACTGCATGTTCATTTAATGCAGCTGGTCTCCCTGGATTAGTTTCTAACAGTAGTTGTTTACATGTGACTCATTAACTGCCCTGAAATGGAGAAAGTATAGATCCCAAAGAGCTGGTCAGCTTATTAGCTGATGAACATTGTGCATTCATCTGGAATTACCTGACTAGAGGGGTCTTCAGTAAAACAGAATGGTTTTATTCACTTCATGCACTTGTCTGTGCTTTTGTGATTCCCAAACACTACGCCTCAGAGAAAGCTGATTAAATTATTATTGCTGTTGTACCTAAGCCAGAAGAACGACTACATAGAACAACATCAAGAATTAGTATAACCGCTTGAAAGGATGGTCAGCTTTCATGTCTCTAGGCATATCCACAATAAATCTAAATGAGGCAGAAAATGCAATGCTGTCTGTTTTAAACTGCTTTCCTCTTAAGCAGCTTGCTGTAGTCTAGTGTGGAAAGAAATGCTGTGTCCAGTGCCTGTTCACTTTAGCTTTCTATTACAATTTCTTAAGATGGCAAAACTATCATAATAGTCCTTATTTTACTATGATGTTATGCAACATGTGGAAGGTTCTGCTGCTTGAATGACTTTCTTTGACCCCAACAGCTGGATGCTGGGAAAACCTTTCATGCCATCATGAGATTTGACACTGACGTGGAGCTCACTTACTTCCACAATGGTGGCATTCTGAACTACATGATCCGTAAGATGGCTTCCTAATCAAAAACATTAAGCAAAAACATCCAGGTACAAGCCTGCTTCTGGTGAGCACAATAAAACTATGGTAATCATAAACTTGAAAGCATGAACCATAAAGTGAACAGTTTGTTCATGCATTGTATTAGAAGGCTTGTTTACAATGCTGAATTATTCTGTGTATTAGGAAACTGGACACGCTTGCCCACTTAAAGTAAACAGCTTTTATTATTTGTTTTATATGGTGGTTGGCTTGACTTACCTTAGAATACAGTGCAAAAGTCATTAAAATACTGCTGGAAGCTGTGGAACTGTTGAAGATCATGTGCTGATTTCATATATTTGGTCCATTTAGATTGACTATCAGTGGTCCAAAAATTAACTGACAGTATAAAAAATAATTTCCTTTCCTTCCTGATTACCTGATATTGACTTGCTTTCTTATTCAGTTGACCAGAATCTGAATCTAATACCAAAATTAATTATTTAGCTGTTTATTAATTTTAAAAAATGTGAACTTTGTTTGTTAAAATCTAAGCCTTTGTGGAAAGGTGGACCTATTGGGGATAATATTTCTAATGGATAAAATTAAATTTATTTTCAAGAAGTTTGTTGGGTTTTGTCATGTTATCCTTCGTTCCAAGATGCACAACAAAGCTTTGACTTTAAACTCTTCTCATTTTCCCTGTAGGAGCAGTCATATAAGTCTTGACTTCTCGTATTTTAATTCTTGTTTCTTTGAATAATCTGCATTAGACAGGATGAATAATAAAAAAACCTGTCAGACACTGGCAGTCTTCTGTAACCCAACAGAATACTGCTGTAATGTACTTCCCTCTGTTTTGTGTCCTCAAGAAGACAATCATCTACCACAATTTCAAGATCCTTGTCAGCAATTTTTATGGCAGTTGGCAACCAGTGATTACACTAATGCATTCACTGAAGTCAGTGACTGCCCAATCCACAATACCACATGAATCTATTTACAGTGATAACAAATATCCTCTTACTCGGAGACAAACAAGGTTATAGTACTAATTCTTACTCTTAACTATCTTTAGAGCAACTGCCACAACAATTAACATAATGGAGAAATTCTTTCAAAGTAATTTCTTAATGTATTTTTGGAGCAGTCGGCTCCAGAACAATGAAAATAGTTCTGAAAGAAGTCAAGAGGCTTCAGGAGGGGATAGAGATGGCACTGTACCTACAACAAGGTATTCTTGCTTGATTACAACACACAGAGCTCTTCTAGAGAATCCAGCAGAGGCCCACTAAGATGTTGCAGGATCTGGAGCATCTGTCATATGAGGACAAGCTAAGAAAGCTGGGACTGTTTAGCCCAGTGAAGAGGAGGCTCAGGGACATCTCTGTTGTTTATGTACAAGTATCTGAATGGAGGGCACAAAGAAGATGCAGCCAGCCTCTTTACAGCGGTGTCTAATAACAGGGCAAGAAGCAATGGGCACAAACTGAAACAGAGGAGGTTTCCTCTGAACACCAGGAAACACTTCTTTACTGTGAGGGTGACCAAGCACTGACTGGAAAAGATTGCCCAGAGAGGTTGTGGTGTCTCCATCCTTGTGAGGTATTCAGATGCTGTCTGGACATGGTACTGGGCAAGTTGTTGTAGGTGACAAGATGACCTCTAGAGGTCCCTCCCAGCTGCAGCTGTTATTCTGTGCAACATCTTAACAGAGAGCTATTAATATGGTCATAATCTTGAGCATTATTTGATAACAAATATGCAACTTCTGGTTCCATTGAAAAAAAAATTCAGATATTCTCAAAGGCCAAATAGAGTGCTGGTGTTCTTACCCACCCTCCTATCTCCACTGGGTACTGAAGGTAGGCTTGTTGTATGAAGTTGAATTCTGATTAATGTGTTACCTCATCAACCTTTATTACACTCATTTAGGCTGAACTGTAGAGTTGTTTTAGTCTGCAGTCCTTGCATTCAAACAATAGGAAGAGACCAAAACTCTTCCAACCCCTTAACTTCCCAGTAGTTATTACTATAAGCTGTGAAACTTAAGACTGATTATTTTTTATGCCAAGAGTCCCAAAGTAGATGGCCCTTTCACACAGCAAACATACTCAAGGACTGTGGTTTTCCAGGTACTTTTCATTTTAAAGTGCTAAACCAGCCTTTTTGCTAAACAAGCCTTTTTCAAAATCTTTGTTTCTAGTATTTTTGGAGGGGAGGCATCATCCAACCATAAATCATCTTTATGCATTGTTCTGTGTTTCCTTTTTGGAAGCAGCTCTAAGAACAGTGAATTTACTAGGTAAAAACTAAGCACAGAGTAAGTTTCTGTAGGACAGATTCAGGCTTCCTGTATGGTGCATACAGCTTTCAAAGTAAAAGGCATGGACTGGGATGGAACATGAAGCAGTGCTTAAAAAGTTGTTTTGCTTTTAATACCACATAACACTGTTTAAAAGAACACTGCAAGTCTCACTGAGTAGGGTTTAGGTAGTTTAAGTAATTTTTGGACTCTGAGTTAGGTTCCTGTTAAAGGTGGTTTGTTTTCTTCAGAGTTCAGGTCTTTCAGACACATAATTCTTCTACATACGTATGTTATTACACTATCAAATGCATAAAGTGAACTGAAAATATATTTGATCTTGGTTCCACAAATATTGAAGATTAAGCTCACTGAAGATACATAGAATCAGCAAGTGCTTTAAAGTGTACAAGTTTAACCTCGGCCAGCAACTAAGCACCATGCAGCTGCTCGCTCAATTCCCCCCCACCCAGTGGGATGGGGAGAGAATCAGAAGAAAAAAAAAAGTAAAACTTGTGGGTTGAGATAAAGACAGTTTAATAGGACAGAGAGGAAGACAATAATAATGATAATAATAATAAAATTACAGTACTAATAATAAAAGGATTGGAATATACAAAACAAGTGATGAACAATGCAATTGCTCACCACTCATCAACTGATGCCCAGTTAGTTCCTGAGCAGCAATCCACCCCCCGCAGCCAACTCCCCTCAGTTTATATACTGGGCATGACATCACATGGTCCGGAATATTCCTTTGGCCAGTTTGGGTCAGGTGTCCTGGCTGTGTCCCCTCCCAACTTCATGTGCCCCTCCAGCCTTCTTGCTGGCTGGGCATAAGAAGCTGAAAAATCCTTGACTTAGTCTAAACACTACTTAGCAACAACTGAAAACGTCAGTGTGTTATCCACATTCTTCTCGTAGTAAATACTAGAAAGAAAATTAACTATCCCAGCTGAAACCAGGACACCAGGTTTTTTAACTGTGTGTGTAGCAATTTCTGTTTTCCTGAGACAAGTCTGGGATCTGGATGGGGAGGAGGGATTTAAAGACACTAATGCCTAGACTTTGTTCCAATTCTAGATCAGCTCTGACAGGAAATCTGCAGAATTAATATTAATGTCTTGAGAGATTTCAGAAGCTAATTCATGAGACAGGACATCAGGGTAAATGCTAATCACCATCTAAATTAAGCCTTCACCCATCTTACAGAGCACTGGTTGTCCTCCTTGGGGCTTGTTCAGTTAAGCAACACATAGAAAGGTGTCCATTCTGCAACTTCAGCAACTTGACAAACATGCAGTGATAGAAGAAAACAGTGCTACCATTTTAATCCTAAGATGCCTCCTCCAGGAGGGCTCTGTGAAGCCCTACTGCTTTTGTCAGACTGTTGCAGAAGCATTCTCTATTAAAGATGGATTTAAAACATGCAATATCTTCCTTACCAAAAAGTTACTGGACATTTTCTCTTAATTTTCTATATACCAAAATGCCTAGAGCATTAAAAGTAATTTTTTTAAAAAGCTTTAAAAGTAGCTAAAGTAGTGCTTAAAGTGTCTGTATAAGCCATGTTGTCTGCTTGGAGGTGCAATCCAACAAGAACTAACTGGTAACAAAGAAGATTCTGATTCACACAGAAATGCTTGAAGTTGTGGCCTGTCACCTAAAATCAGATGTTTAATAAGTCATTCAGCTTGATTTTGTATTTTTCAGACCAGCTTCTTCGTAGCAGCAAAGATTAAAATCTAGATGCTTAGAGCAATTTTTGTCCATGCTTATATTAAAACTTCTTGTGAAACATTTAATTAGATAGCAGATTTTTTTTTTAGTGGCCATACTAGCCTTTTTTAATCTAGCCAGATGCTGATGAGGGGGCCTAGTATATCCAACAGCATAAAGAACAAGAACTTTTTATACATGGAAAGAGATTATCCACTATTTCATCTTGGTGCAGTAGGGTGATACATGCATTAAAATGCTGAGTTCAGCTGGATGTTTCTTCAACATCAAAATTCTTCAAAGAGAAATTAATATTCTTCCATTTCTGAAAATCCATTTGTGTCCCAGTTTCAACATTCTCTAATACAAAACTTTTGATTTTGATCACTGGTAGATTATCAAATGTCTTGTACTTCACTATGATTCCCCAGTCATGCTGGCAATTAGTATTTTGGCAATACATCTTGCTTTTTTTCTCAAAACAATCAAACTGGACTGGTTTATGGTGAGGCTTTGTTATGTAACGCTCCTTGAACGCATCTCCTAGGACAGTGTGATGAGATTCCTGAAACAACACATGCCAGAAGCACTTAATAGTAGAAACACCATTCCTCATTTTTTCCCTGACATTCACCTTCCCCTCACAAATACCATTTCCCTGGTAAGGTGCTTCCTGTCATTAAGGAGGCTCACCTTCCAGCCCCCTTGGCTCATCGCTCTTTTTTCCCCATTCATTAAATACCAGGTACTAGAAAGGCCCAGGCCTGGTCTTATCAAACCCCAAATAACTATATATCACAAGTCACTAGCTTACACATATTTGAACTTACTTAGATTCTCTAAAAGCCATGCTTGCAGTATTTGAGCCTTTTGCGTAAAATAACAGAGTCACCCAGACAACAGACAACTTGAAAGACTCCTGCTTCTCACTTATTTTAACTGTATGACCCCAGCCTTCCATGAGGGGTGATGCAATTACATTGGAATGGTAGAAAAAAGTAAGCCTAACAAGGTAAAGGAGTAACAGTTGTTGTTTATAACATATATAATTAAAGATTAAAAAAAAAATTAAAAACTTAATTTGAAAGCATATGTACAATTTGAGCTGGAGTCTGAAAATGCTAGTTCTTCCTTGATATCCAACTTGAATTAAATATGTAGGCTGAACTATGACAGAACTCGGTTTGTAGGGATTATTTAAAATATTGTGAGGGGTTATTTGCAGAGTACTAAGCAAAAATTCTTCCTGAAGAGTTTTCTGAACTCTCGGATCTATTTGCCCAGGTATAGGTGATAAGCCAGCAGCACAAAATGGAGTAACAGTCAGAGGTGCATATTAGATATCCCTTGTTATTTGTCAAAGAAGTGTAACTAGGTTTTCACAAGGCTGAGTTATTCCCAAATCCTTGCCTGTGGATATTCCCTATGCAGAGGAGTAGTGAACTCCATCTACGTTCCAAAAGCAGCTGGTAAAAACAAAAAAAAGATATTCTTGATTAAAAAGGGAAGTGGCTGAAGGCAAGCATTCTGTAATGCTCAGCTGTGGCCTGAAGCCCTTTATCACATTACAACTGTACTTTTCAGAGCAGCACAAATAGAAGCTTCAGAAGAACAAATTTCAGCACTAGAAAGGCTCAAAGTGCCCAGAAAAGGCTCTCTTTCATGATCACCACTTTCCATGTCTAGAGTATTGGCTTCTTGGGCCTGCAGAGAAATTCTTCAAGTTCAGAAAGATTACAATAAAAATGTCACCATGAGATACATCGAAGCAATGTGAACTACCTAAAGAATGGAAAACAAAGTAATACTGAAGAATTAAAGGGCTCCTCTTGTAAAACCATGCTTTGCCCTGCCTTTCAAAACTGAAAACTGGCCCATAAGCCAAGGAGCTAAACAGTGAGCTGATCTCAGTACTTTGTATGGATAATTTGCAATCAACAGAAATGGTGGGAGAAATGTCTCAACTGCAGGAAGACTCCCAATCTTGTGCTAATCGGGAAAGTAAATACCCAGCAGTTATACGAATAGGTTATGTCATTGAAGATCACATGATTTTCCACAAAATTCATCAGTTTCTAATAGAAGGGGGTTCAGGAAAACTGAAGTGATTCCTGTCATATCACATATTTGCACACCCTGGATATCATCAACTACCATCATAACATGCTACAGAAGTAGTTATGACTGGTCCTGTGGCTTTCCGATTTACTCAGAATTTTTTTCTGCTCCAGTTTGCACAAAATAGCCTGCTTTCCACACTAATAAACACTGCTGTTAGTTCAATAATGTTGACTTCCCTGGTGTTCACGGATGTAGGTTTCCATACAGACACATACCTTTATAACTCTGATGTCATCTGTACTGCAGGCATACGCTTTGCATTTTCCACACAGAAGATTTTTTTTCCCTTCCACTACCTTACTTCTTGTTTCTTTCTTCCTGGAGTCTCGTAATACCTTTTCCTTCATTTGCAGGTCATGTATCTTTAATAAATAAATAAAAATCAAGATCATTATGAAATTACATCTGTCTAAACATGACTCAGGATATGTAACATCTAGGAACCTATTACTTAAAAGCAAACAAACAAACCAGGCTTTGTTCTAGCAACTCATACCAAAGGAAGAACATGGTACATTTGTCAGGTTAAGAATGTAAGGCTAGAATAAGTAAGTCACATGATGGACAGCATTTATGCCATCTGTTCCTTCCTCCCCTCTACCCCACTATGGCCCCTCTGGTCATAACGCTATTAAGTCCTTGTGAAGACTAAGTCACGTGAGACTCTCTACAGCAGAACTAGTGCTGCTGCTCTGGAAAGAATGCTCCAGAGACTACAGAAATTGCAGGCAGAGAAAGAGGCAACAGCCACAGCCTGGACCTGGGAACCTGCAGCTCATGCAGAAACAAAATCCTCCAAGAAGCAGCAGAGCAGCCAAAGCAAGACTCAGAGGTGGGAGAGGAAATTTCACAAAGGCTAGAGGGTCTTGGACATCCTTTGTTTCTCAGTCCCTGAAAGCTTGCCTGGAAACATGGGGTGATCTGCAAATGCATGGGAATATGGCAGAACTGTGTACAAAGTCTTTTTATTCGTAGTGGCTACCACTGGCTTATTCCAGTCTTCTCGAGGAAATTTGTTGCAAAGGTCTAGGAAAATAGAATCATAGAATCATTTAGGTTGGAAAAGACCTTTAAGATCATCGAGTCCGACCGCAAACCTAACACTGCCAAGTTCGCCACTAAACCATGTCCCTAAGTGCCACATCTACACATCTTTTAAATACCTCCAGGGATGGTGACTCAACCTCTTCCCTGGGCAGCCTGTGTCAGTGCTTGATAATCCTTTCACTGAAGACATTTTTCCTAATATCTGACCTAAAGTTCCCCTGGTGCAACTTGAGGCCATTTCCTCTTGTCCTATCTCTTGTTACTTGGGAGAAGAGACCAATGCCTACCTCGCTACAACCTCCTTCAGGTAGTTGTAGAGAGCGATAAGGTCTCCCCTCAGCCTCCTTTTCTTCAGACTAAACAACCCCAGCTGCCTCAGCTGCTCCTCAGAGGACTT